AAGAGTGGAAAAGGTGAAGGGCAAGTGCAGCTGTACCAGCAGGCAGGGAGGAGACCCTGAGCAGCAGCACCAGAGCACATCAGAGACCGAGCAGCAGCATGTCAGGGTGAGCACTGCTTCAGGGCTCTTTGCTCAGCCAGCCGAGCCCTGGATTTTTAATACTTTGGACCTCGCTGCCATCATCGTGCATTGCACCAGATCTCCCAGGGAGGACTTCAGTCCATGGGGTGCATCTGACCCTATAGTTGGCTGGATGGTATTGCCTTGAATCAGAGTCTTCTTCAGCCTCTCAAGCACTCTGGTGTTTGCCGGGATGGACTGAGAAGAACAAGAAACAAGAAGTCTCCTTCTTCCCAAACCCCTTTTCCAAGGTGAATTTTCACGCTGGTCTTCAGGGTTTGCTCGTTCATTCCGCTGTTGGCCTTGGCAGCGTGGGCAGCCTGCAGGATGTCTGACGGAGAGCTGACTCACTGTGGTTACGCTCCACGGAGCCTCCCGAAATGGTGAGCCACCGGCACCGGGCAGAGAGTGAATTCAGCAGTCCTCCTCCAAAAGGGCCCTGGGGATGGGCGAGGAAATGCCCCCAAACCTCCCCAGTCCCTCCCCAAGTCCCTCCTGAGAGGGCAGCAGGCTCTGAGAGAGCAAACTCTGGCAGAAGAGATGCAAAACATGCGAGCAGCCGCGGCTGCGAGAGCAGGTCACGCAGAGACAGGGCAGGGGTGCCCGGCTACCGAGGGAGTGCACGCTGCTCCTCCTGCATCGTTGCGGTGACGGCTCCAGCGCTGCTGTACCGTCTGGTTTGTCATCCTTATCTTCAAATTCGGTGTAGAGGAAGGGAAAACAAGACACCCAGATAAAGTCATGGAATAGAGATCTTCCAGGAGATTTTAAACACCATACTCTGAAAGGCAAGAACCTGTACGTGGCTCGCTGCTGAGGAGGAGAAACGCTCATCCTGTTTCTCACACTCAGAGCATTGGGTATTGGCAGCTGCCGGAGACAGGGACTCACCTACATGGTCTGTGGTGGCCTTTCATACGCTTACATTAGACCACCTCCTCCTCCTCAGCTCGAGCTGCTGGGAGAACATCCACCTTCACTTCTCACCTGGTCATAACCTTCCCAACTGCAGGGCCCGCGAGCAACACGCTGCGTGCCGGCTGTCACTGGGAGCGGGCTCAGGCACCGCCAAAGTCCTTCCAAACACCGCTGGGCACATGAGAGGAATACCGTCACCTGGTTAATAAATCCAAGGCACAGCATCAATACAGCAAAACAGGGAAATTTCTTTCCAGAATAGGGTACGTACAACTTTTTTGCCACGCCAAAAGGAATTGTTTTGCGCTCAGCTGGGGTCCTGGCTTATTTACTAGTTTAATATTTTTTTTATAAAATATCCTTTCAGAAAGGTATTTTCAAAAAACAAAGCCTGAAAGAACTGAATTTGTTTGGCTTAAAAAGAGTAGAAAGAGGGAACAACAAAGGTCTCCTAACACGTGCGGGCCCATTCCAGAGGGACAGAACGGCTGTGCTCCCAAGCTCTGGGGAAAACAAAGAAATTGCTGGAAAGCACAGGAAAGATCTGAGTTAGGTCCTAGGAAAGACCCTTAAACTGTGAAGCGGGAGAAATACTGGAGCAGGCTGGAAAAGCCAGGGATGCCTCAGCCAGAAGTCTGTGAGGGACAATTCAGGCACACTTGGTGCTGCCTTTAAACCTTTAACAATGCCTATCATTTTCCATTCACTTCACAAGTCATATTATATCCTGAGCGTATCTCAACAGCTACAGTTGACTCGCCAAGTC